TATCCCTAGGGCTGGAAAGAGACCAAGAAGCCTCCAAAGCAATGCAGGTTGTAGAAGGAGGGAAGGAACAAACACAATCAATGCAGACAAAGGGATAAAGTAGAGAGGGGAGACATAGCCTGGCTTCTTCTCAGCTCTCTTACCCACCTGTCTTATACCAATGCCTCGTATTGGTTAAACCTACCTCAGAGGCCAGAGGGAAAAATATTTGGGAAATGTAGTTCCCAGTTGTGACATGGCAGAGGGTGGGGGAGGTGGGGAGTGGAGGGGATGCGGGGTGGGGGGGATGCACAGATCTAAGAGCAAACCAGCAGCTGACTGGCACAAAAAAGAGACCCTGAGAGGGCCAGGTACGAAGACTGAGTCGAGGTGGGGACAGTTTGAGCCTAGGAGTTGGAGGCTACAATGAGCTATGATGATGATACTGCACTCTAGCCTTGCCTCAGATAAAAAAGAGAGACTCAGAGAGGTAACATGTGGGGGCCAGGGTTAATGAAAACCAGATCTTAGTCCTTTCCTTAGGACTTAAGGGTTGAAGTGACTGATGGGACTGGCTACAGAAAGAGGCTGTAGATCAGCCTGCTGAGGTTAAACAGGATCTGAGATAGGAGTCACCTGCGAAGCAGAAAGTTTTGACTGGGAAGAGCATGGAGTGACCTTTTGTAGTGCAAGAAATGAAGTGCTCTGGAGTGGGTGGGGGCTGAGGGGTGGAGACACAAGAATATACAAAAGTGAAAATGTGCTGGCTGACTGTATATTATGTGCTTCATTGTGTATCATTTATACCTCAATTAAAAGAAAAAGAGTTCCTGTCTTTTAGAATAAACATTCTGAAATATTTTTAAATGAAATGATACGATGTCTGGGATTAAAAGAGAGAGAGAGAGAGAGTGTGTGTGTGCATGCGCGTGCACTGGTGGATGAAGGGTATACAGAAGAAATAAAACTGGCCAGGAGTTGAACCTGGATAAAGAGTACATGTAGAAGGGGACCCAATATTACCTTCTCTGCTTTTGTATATTATGTTGTATGTGAAATTTCTTTGATAAAATAAGAAAAAAGAAAGAAAAGTACCTAGAGTTGATACACATGCATTCTTTATGCATTTAGGAGCTCAGGAGTGAGTCCAGCCCCAGGCCCCAGCCCCCCAATCTCTGTTGACCTGGAAGAAGCAATAGCCTTGATACTGGCCTCCCATTCCCGGCAGCCTCGGTCAATTCTGTATCTAGAGTTGCCAGCAGAGCATGGGTCCTGGGCTGCCCATGTGAGGAGAAACAGCCTCACAGAGTAAAATGTCTAAAGTGCAGGCAGGTCCCTTTACCTTTTTATGACGTCTCCTCCCCAGACTCACTCTTTCTCAAGCACTTCTTATACCTCCACCCAGAGCCTGTCCAGCTATCAGACAAACCAGGGTAATGAAGAGTGCTGAACAGGGCCTTTCAGGGAAAGGGACGATGCAACCTATCTCAAGAGAAGAAGTTAACCCCTCATCCCGAGGGAGGGAGACACCTGGAGTCACAAGGAAGTGGCACGGCTATTAGAGTGAGCTGGGACCTAGAAATCAGGAGACCTGGACTCTAGGCTGGTTCTGCCATGGACTGGCTATGTGGTGTGGAGATCATCTGTTTATTCAATAAATAGGTATTGGACATGGGTTATGTGCTGCTCTGCCCGGGCCACTGCAGACCTCCCAGCCTGGAGGAGAAGCAGACAAGACCAGCAGGAGAGCAGTCTTCACAGAAGCTGTTCAGCCTAGGGCAGGGCGTGCTTCCTAGAGACCGAGTGGCTCCTCCAGCACAGGCAAGAGTTAGACAAGAGGACCAGAAAGCTAGCGGTAAGAAGGTGTGTTAAAGGGTTGAGAGAGATGGCGGGAAGAAAGGGAGCAGGGACCAGATTAAGTCGCCCTGGGATCCTGGTCTCCTCATGTGTCACACTGAGCCTCAACCTTCTTCATCCTCAAGGTGAGGGGCTGGACAGGGTGAGCTCTCAGCCCTCTCCAGTTCAAAGGGAGCCAAAGGCTTGTGGGCAGGGAAGCTGGAACTGAGGGTTGGGGCTGCCCAGCTTAGCCTAGCTGGCCCTTACTCCCCAGGAACTTTGGCTGCAGTCCTCCCCATTTTCTCCTTGAGAGTGAGGTTTCCTAAGGACAGGGAGGAGGGCCTGCTGCACCCTGCAAGTGTCTCATAGGTGACCTGTGCCCACTCATGTGTGGACTAGGTTGGGTTAGCAGGGTGGAGGGCTGGCTGGCTTGTTATTCCCTTCTAATTTGTCTTAAAAAGTCACGTGGCCAGGCATCTGCCTACTCAGACTCCCGGGGCCCCCCCACACTGCATCTGCCCCCAGGCTCTCTGCTCAGAGCACTCTCCATGTTTGTTCTTCCCCTGCCCTCTGCTGTTCAGATCCAGCACCTTTCCTGAGCTCCCTCTGTTCCCTGGGCAGGGCTGCCCCAGCTGGGCTCTTGGAGGCCTATCTGAGGACCTTCCACTAGTTCTGCCGCCCCTTTCCCACCAGCTGGGCCCAGCCTCAGCCCTTCTCTCCCTGGTCAGGCTTCCAAAGAAGGGAGGCGGCCTGGTTCCGGCCCTGCTGCCCTCACGTGCTTTCCCGGCCACCCCCTCCGGCCCAGCCAAGCCTGTTCCTCTTCCCCCGATGCGATTGCGACAGGCAAGCCTCAGCTCCCAGCGCTCCCTGTCCCCGCCCCCGCAGCCAGCTCGCTCCACTCCCACTTCCTGAGCCCAGCGGCGGTCACTGGAGGCCTGCAGGCCAGGCCTGGCCGCTCCCGGCCCCGGGGGGCACATCGCCCCTGAGTCCATTTCCAGAGGCTAGGCTGGGGAAGCTCCTGTCTCTGCTCAGGACGTCGGCCTCCCACCTTCCTCCAGGCCCCCCACCCATCTGACTGACTGGCTGAGTGGCCGCCATGCGTCTGCCTAGGGCTACCGCTGCTGGCGGCCTGGCCCTGGGGCCACTTGTGCTGGGTCTCTGTGGGCTCCTGGCAGATTCCCACCTCCAGCTGGTGAGGGAGGGCCGGTGGGAGTGGGTGAAGGCAGGGAAGCGGTCTGTGGGCAGCCCCTCTGTGGGCCCTCTGCCCTCCCAAACTGACCCCTGACTAATTATTCTCCCCTTACCTCCATTTCCCCTTGAAGGTGCACCCATACAGCTCAGAAAACCAGACTTGCAGGGACCAGGAAAAGGAGTACTACGAGCCCAGGCACCGGGTCTGCTGCTCCCGCTGCCCACCAGGTGAGAGGCAATGCTGGAGAAAGCCTGGGACACGGAGATGGGTTCCGGGGGGCTCTAGCCCCCTTGCTGCCTCAGAGAGAAGGAGGACACTGTCCTCCAGGAAAACTAGCTGGCAGAGACAGAGCGTGAGAAACTGGCCGACCGTCATTTGCAGGCTCTGTGATTTGCCCTCTTCACTGGGCGGGCCTCTTGGCTCTGTCCCTAGCTGAGAGGTAGCTGCAGGGCTGGGGTGGAGTGATGAGGGAGACACTGAGGCACAGGACCAGCTCCTACAGCGAGCAGCAGAGGTGAAGGTGGAACCCTGTCTCCTAACCTCCTACTGCCCCACTCACGTCCTAGGCACCTATGCCTCAGCTGAGTGCAGCCGCAGCCGGGACACAGTTTGCACCACGTGCTCTGAAAACTCCTACACTGAGCACTGGAACTACGTCTCCTCCTGCCACCTATGCCGCCCGTGTGACTCCGGTGAGTGGGGTATACCTGGGGAGGAGGGCTGGGAGCTCCTGCCACACAGCTCTCACCTGAGCCCGCCTATCTCCCCCCAGTGATGGGCCTTGAGGAGGTTGAGCCTTGCACCAGCAAGAGGAAAACCCAATGCCGCTGCCAGCCTGGAATGTTCTGTGCAGCTAGGACCCATGAGTGTACGCACTGCGAGCTACTTTCTGACTGCCCCCCTGGCACTGAAGCTGAGCTCCAAGGTCAGAGGTCACTGAAGGCAGAGGGTGAAAAGGAGGCTGGGTGCCTGCTATCTTACATGGGGGCCAGGGAAGATTGTGCTGTGTCCATGGCGATCCTCCAGGTAGTTCTGAGCATAAGATGCCTCTTCTTATTCTGTGCTCACGGAAACAGACTTGGGACAAATCCAGGGGACGCAGGAGGGGGTCTCTCAGCACTCTTGAGTAAAATGGTGGGCAGCAAAGGGAAGCTTGAGAAAGGTGGGAAGTACAGATAGGGTGGATGGGACAGTAGGAGGCCATCCAGTGGGTATGAAGGAAGTTCAGGGTGAGGCAAAAGGCTCCCTTCTCATTCACTCTGGCTGGCTTGCCTTTCTCTTGCCAGGTAAAGTTGGGGAGGCTAACAACAACTGTGTCCCCTGCAAGGCAGGGCACTTCCAGAACACCTCCTCCCCCAGTGCTCGCTGCCAGCCCCATACCAGGTGAGTGTGCCTCACCCATGATCTTTTCATCCTCTGAGAGGCACCACCATTCTTGACACTATGGTCTACCCTCACCACTTCCAGCCCCATATGCCCACTTAAGTTGGGGTACTGATGGATGAGAGCATGTAGAGGTCATAGGTCTCTCTTTCCTCTGCAGGTGTGAGGACCAGGGTCTGGTGGAGGCAGCTCCAGGCACCGCCCAGTATGACACAAGCTGCAGAAACGCATCAGAGCCACTGCCCCCTGAGATGGCAGGTAAGGGGCCAGGGCTAAGGGACACAAGGGAATATCTGGAAAATGCCCTATCCACCCCACCTAAAAAGTGGAGAAAAGATGAATTCTTCCCTCCCCAAATCAGGGCAAGAAGTTCCTTAAAGAGAAACTAGAGTATCCCTAGACTAGTTTATCTAAACATACACTTTTTAATTTATATATATGGAGCAGGAGTAGTGGTTTACGCCTGTAATCCCAACATTTTGGGAGGCCCAGGCAGGAGGGCTGCTTAAATTCAGGAGTTTAAGACCAGTCTGGACAACATGTGAGACCGCATCTCTTAAAAAAATTTTCTTGGCTTGGCACCTGTGGCTCAAGTGGCTAAGGTGCCAGCCACATACACCTAAGGTGGTGGGTTCAAATCCAACCTGGGCCCACCAAACAACAATGACAGCTGCAATCAAAAAATAGCCGGGCATTGTGGCGGGCGCCTGTGGTCCCAGCTACTTGGGAGGCTGAGGCGGGAGACTCGCTTGAGCCCAGGA